ATATGACTGCAAACACTTGATCCAGAATTTTGTAACTGGGATTGCAGAGAAATCAGTTCTCGCTGTGTCGCTGGTTAATAAGTTCAATGAACTTAAAGATTTCTTGTGGGAGAGATGTACCTCGGTCTTTGGCTACGCGCGAGAAAGCATTCATACCAAAGGCTGGTTTGTGATTCAAGTGAGTTTTATAAAGGTTATAAGCAGTTTCTGTGTTTACAGTAAAATGATTCAAGTGAGTTTTATAAAGGTTAGAAGCAGTTTCCGTGTTTACAGTAAATGGAACACAAGCCAGACAGAGTCTGAGGCATGCTTGTGAGGAACTGCTGCTCCGGACTGCAGCCCGGCCGCTCTGGGACCACAGCCTGCCAGTGCTGCACTCTGTAGCAGCTGCTGGGAGAGAGAGTGCCAGAGCAAACTTCTGACTTCTCAGGCCCCGCCCCGCTGGGAGGCGTTGTCGATGATACTGGTCGACCCCATTGCCTGAATCAAATTCATCTGGCCTAGATGGGCCAATCGAGGTGTACCGCCCATCTAGGTGTACCCCCTTCCTGGCCGGGAGCTTGAACCTAACAAACTTCTCTTGTTTGACTGTGAATGGGCTTCTGGCAAGTGTAAATGGGGTGTCAGGTAGATTTGGAAAGTATGACGAAATTTCATCTGCAAACATGTGCTAGTGTTCTTTCCCAGAAATTATCCTCGTAATCCTTTTGTCTGGTTCAATGTCATGTTCCTCAGAGAAAGCAGTTAAGGTAGGCAACATGTAAATCTTATTTTCATCCAATGTTTTTTTGGCCAAAGCTGAAGTTTCATTTGGAACGATCATGTCTTTTCAGACAAATTTGTTGCATGTTGCATTTGGTCTTTGCAGTGATAAATTTAACTCATTCAAGATGGCAAAGATGTCAACCAAGTAATCTATTCTCTGCAGTTCACGTTTATTGCTGAAAAGTGCTTTGAGCTGTGGTCTTGCTTGTTTAAAAAACGTTTTGAGTTCATCACGAAGCTCAAAAACAGGTTTTAAAACTTTTCCACTTGACAACCATCTTACTTCGGTGTGAAATAGCAGAGCATTATTCAATGCATCCAACTCATTGCACAGTTGTGAAAACAGTCCACTGTTTAAAATGCTCGCCTTTACAAAATTGACAGAACTTATGATGCTTTTCATTACTTCTTGTAACTCTTGTAGCGGCCAGCGTCTTTGTTGCTAATATTTGTTGATGAATTGTACAGTGAGTTCCGATGACTTTTGGTGACTCATTCAGTACCAAACATTGAAATCCAGATCGACATCCTAGCATAGGTGGAGCAACATTTGTACACACACCACAAACCTTTTCCCAAGAGATCTTATGCTCTTTCAGAAATGAACCAGCTGTGTCAAATACATCATGTGCAGTAGATGCCGTTTCAAGAAGTTTGCAAAAAAGAAACTCATCTTTAAAGTCGCCATCATTAATATACCTCACATAAACCAGTAACTGAACAGTTTGCAACGTCTGTAGATTTATCAAGCAGGATGCTAAATATTGGAAGTGGAACAGATTTAATTTCCTGGATTACTTGGTCAAGAATATCAGCAGACATGTCATCTATTCTTCTGTGGACAGTGTCATTAGATAAGGAAATTGCACTCAATTTCGTAACAAATTCATCTCCGATCATAACTCAAACAATGTCTTTGGCTGCTGGCAACAGTAAATCCTCAGCAATGATGTGAGTGTTCATAGCTCTGGTGATTCTGAGTGCCACCAAATATGAACAGCTGTTACATTTTGTTTGTGGTACTTGCCACCAGTGTCAAATCTGGCTTTTTTGAGTCCATCAGCTTTGCTTCTAAATTAGTTGGTATTCTTGCCAGCAAAGCTCAGATGCTTGTTATTAAAATGGCATTTTAATTTGTTTGGCTTCATAGATTTGGTTGATAGAACTCCACAACAAATAACACATTGCGGTTTCTCAATCCCTGCTGTAATTCTTGAGGTGAAACCATACTGTAAAAATTCCTCACTATATTTTCTTTTCTTAACGTTCTTCTCTACATGATCCATTATCATGGGATGATTTTCTAATGAAAATAATATATAACAATAACTTTAATAATACAAAAGATGATACACAGCACAGTTCAGTCAATAAATTTCAACAAAGTTTCTTATGATTTACTATTCTGTGTTATTTTTTCTAACATACCTGTTACTATCACAGGGGGCAGTATTCACATCAACTACAGCTGAATATAAAAAGACCGATCAGCATCCAGATTAAGTTCTCATGGTACAGATCCTTTTTTGGGGGTAGTAGTTGATGATTTTACAGTACATGATTTTACATTTATCCAGTAATTATACATCATGAAGTGTCGTTTTACCTCCAGTACTGCTGCTTTCAACACAGTAACTGCTTTTAACAGAGTAGCTGCTTTCAACACAGCAGCAGCTCTCTACACGTGTGACTGGTCCGCATAAGTACATTATGGCACCAACCCTGTCACATACACCTTTATTTGTACAAGGTGTATGTAATGGGATTGACGGGATGATGTCATCTCACTGGGTAATCATGTGGGCATATCTGCATGTGGGTGGACCTACCTGGATACTGATAGAGGAGCCGTGTCTCGTTTCCTAAGACCATCGGAAATATGTGTTTTCCTATGGTCTTAGGCAATCCCTGTGAAAGGGTCGTTTTACCCCCAAAGGGGATGCGACCCACAGGTTGAGAACTGCTGGATGAGATACTCTGCAGATGGGTTTTGGGCTCCCACTGTCTTTCATAGCTTTCTGCAAATTGTGCCTTCGTAATTTTAGCTACAATACTTTTCTGTTCGCCATATCTGAATTTTGTCATGGTCATCTTTGGATTGCATAAGCTGGTGTGCGTGTTTCATTTGTCAACATAGTTCTCCTTGCTTATATGGCTGCTTGTTTGAATACAAGCCTTTAAGACCCCAGACACTATTCAGATTGATAGCCGGGCACCATCTTTCTTTGCCACACATTGCTATAGCACCTTTATCTTCAGTGAACATTTCATGAAGGTGAGTATTGAGCCATGCCATGATATGAGAATTAATTTTTCTGACGTTGGAGCTAGGATTCATTGTGAGCCGAGAAGTCATTCCTGGATCTACGCTTTAAAAAAATTGCTGTTACTTGGAAATTAATAAACATGTCCTATCATTCCATAGTTTAATCATGTCAAACATAATGGTATAATTGCTTCATAAGCAATCTCCAAACATACTTTTCCTTCTTGGGCTTCTTTACATCATCTTCTTTTCTCCTCCACCCCTGTATATTCCCCCCACCCCCAACACTTGTTATGTTTTTTACCCTATAGGCTCAAAGTCCCTGGGTTTCATTTACTGATAAACAGCGAATCAAATAAGTGACCCCCACCAAAGGTGGTAAACATCTGGGACACGCACTAATATGAGCAAGCATAAGCAAAATATAACAGAATGACTGTCACAAGATTGCTGGAATAATATGTATCTCAATACAGCCTACAGTGCACTGATAGATACAGCAAGACCTTGTTTGTCCCCCAGTGAATAACGTACCACCCTTCGTACACCTGTCATCTGCTTCATCAGACAACATGTGTTTTCTGGCTTAAGTCCTCAGGTTACAAGTGTGTTTGACGTAGAGTCCAGCTCAGCCAGTGGAGTTCCTATATGGGTTCTCAATGATGCAGCATCTGGAGCATTCTGTGTGCCCCCAAAATCCAGGATTCAGCATCACAGCATTTCCTGGCACCCAGCCCGGGTTCCTGGGATAACCCCAGGTGCCGTAGTTCAAGTTTGCCCACCCAGTGCATACCACAAAAGACATGTCCCACCTAATGTTCCCCAAAGCATCCAGAATTTCTCCTCCCCTCACCTGGAGATCAGCTCTTTCTCCCCTCCCCTCAACAGACATGCACCTATGTTCCTCAAAACACGACAAGGGAGTCAAGTGCTTTGTGAAGGGGACTAGTGAGCGAAGAGCACAGCTATGCTCTCTGTGGGAAAACTGACCAAAAAACCCTGGGTGGTCTTAGACTGAGACATGGTTTCACTTTTCAGTCCCCAACTCAGCCTTGTCATCTGTAAATCTTGTGATCAGACAACGAGTTCTTCTGTGGATGATCCTACACTGGCACCATCTTCCTAGAAGTCCTTCCCTTCCTTTTTAATATGTGGTTGTAGTTGCTCAGACCTTTTTCTACTGAAGGTCTGATCTTTAATTAACTTATTAAATTGCAAGTCAGTACTTGGCTGTCAGTGTTCCTCTTTGCTTTTCTCTTTGTTCTAGTAGAGATGAGATATCAAAAGGCCACAATGTTGATTATTTTTTCCTATCCCTCTTCCTTTTCAGATTACTCCTCTGCTGTTCAGAAATTTTCCCAGACCTTGCAGTCTTTTCAGTTTGATTTCATTGGGGACACATTGACTGATGATGAGATTAATATTGGTAAGTTTTCATTTAAATGTGGTTGTGTGACTTTTTAGGCAAGTACGAGAATGTACAATGGTCTCCTTCGTTTGTGCATACAGAGTAATTGGGCTTTTCATCCTTTGTGGTCCAGTGTGAAGGCCTTAAGAGACTCTTTAAGAAGGAAGAGGTAGTATTATCTGTTGGTTTGGCTTCCCATTCACATGAAAGCAATCATGGAATATTTTTTAATTCTGTACTAAAGTCATTGATCTGGTCTGTCTGCAAGGGAACTTTTCTTTAAAGAATATAATACATGAAAATATATTTTATAAAAAAATACTAAAAATATTTTAAAAAATGCTTTTCAGCATTGTTCAAAGTGAGATTCTTCTAATAAGCAGTGTTCCAGAGAATGTTTAAAATTATCATGTATATATGTGCAACACTAGATTCTTTAAAATTATCTCACATATAAGTGCAATTTTTTGAGCAACATAAAGTTGGCTATATCTTGGGAATGGAATATAACATCTTTTTCTTAAACAATTTTATTTAAGCTAATACAGATATTCCATAGTTCAATCACATCAAGAAGTATTGCACAAGTGCTACCACAATCAGTTTCAAAACATTCACTTCCTTCTTGTAAGGGGTCCAAACCAGTGTCTAGTGACCTCCAATTCCATAATCTTGAGAGCAGTTATGTGCTTTTCCTCACACTAGGGCATTTCAGCTTTAAGTCTAAGGGAATATGTCAATTCCTCAAATCTGGTACAGGTGAGTTTGAGATAAAGCCTGGTTAACCTAGTAGGATTTCCACATTGTATCCCTCTGGTGTGGACTTCAAAATGATCTTATGCACCTCAAAAGCACAGAGTCTAAAGTCCTAGTTGTTATAGCACATGGCCTAGGTTACCTAGGGCTCAATAGAAGCTAGGTCAAAATTGTCCAATTATGAACTTCGTACAGAGTCTTTTCCCCTTGGGTTCTATATAAGTATTGTTAAGCATTTTTCCCCAATGGGAGGTTGCTTCTCCTGCTTTATCCACCAGCAGAAGTGTAATCACCTTCTCAACCTTACATGCCCCTTCCCCTCATCTTGACATGAATTTCAAGTTAGCCTTGCTTATCTCTCTTGTCGGAGTGTCTTGATTTGGGTGGCCTTAGCACAATGTAGTATGGCAGAAACTGAGATGAGGAAGGGTCTCCCCCCTCTCCTCATTTCTTGAGCAACTGGTTCCAGCTTTGTTGAGTTCTCTGTTGAAGTGGATTTTACTTTTAAGATGAACACATAAAGGGGGTTATATATGGTTCATGGGCACTAGGCAGGCTCTCTATCTCATAAAATAAAAAATAAGACAGTTTATAGCACTTGCTGCCATACCATTATTTAACTGGACCACCATAATTACGCCAAGGAAAATGTTATTAATATTTTACAAATGAGTAGATTGAGGCATGATGGTTCTAAATTAATTAACCGAATTTTTTTTTATGTTGGTAAGAAGTGAAACAGGGCCCTGAACCCTGTATTGGAATGAAAGAGCTACGTTTTCACAGCAAATTACCCCTCTCCCAATCTGTTTGCCTGTCTGTGAAATGAGAAAAGTCTAGTCTACTCCCAAGTGTAGCTGTAATGACTAAATGAAATGTTACCAAAGAAACAGTCCAGGGTATTAATATATAAAAGGAAACATTCATTAGCATTTGGCACCTTCCTCATGGCATGTGAACTTGGAGCATTTACCCTACCTCTTGTCCCACAGATCTCTGACCACCTGCACATCAAGCTATGCGATTAATTTACTTTACTTTTTATTTTAGCTGAATCCTTCAAAGAATTTGCTGAGTTGCTCAACGAAGTAGAAAACGAGAGGATGATGATGGTAGGTCAACAACATTAGGCCTGGTTCTGAAATCATGGTAGATCATAACTCAGATTACAGGAATTTTTTCTTTTCTTGGTAATTGTATTCATACTTTGATATTTCTCTTTTTTTGTACAAACTCATACTCAAAGGTTTGTTGATGACCCCCCCCAAAAAAAAATCCAGATGATTCTGATTCATGTGGGGATAACCAAAAGAACCCTGGAATTATTTTTCAAAGCTATGCATTTAATTTATTTTTACAAAACAACCTTATCACCTTCAAAATACTCTCCATTATATATAATACATTTGTCAAATCTGTGATTCTATTCTTGGGAAAATTTTTCAAACTCGTCTATTTGGATGTCTGACAGTACCTCCCTAATTTTTTGCTTCACTTCTTCTATGTCTTCAAATCACTGTCCTTTCATGTCCCTATTCATTCGCGGAAACAAACAGAAGTTGCATGGAGTAAAGTCAGTAAGGTGCATTGGTCCAGAAAGGCATGTGTTTTTTTGCCAAAAACTTGCACATTGAGATGGCTGTGTGAGAAGGTGCATTGCTCTGGTGGCAAAACCAACCAACCAAACAAAAAAACCCCAAATCAGGCCTGTTTTTTGTGGCATGCTGTTAGGTAATCTTTTCAGAACCTCTAAATAGAAAGCTTGATTAATAGTCTGACCAGGTAGAATGAACTCCAAATGCATCAAAAGTTGACATTTCACCTGTTTTGAAATGTGAAAACCACTTGAGTTTTTCCCATAGCGCTGTCCTTTTAACATGTTCGACATCAGAACAGTTTTTGCAGCATTGTTCCCAAGAAGGAAACAAAATATCACAGCTGCATGCTGTTCTCTTAAATCAGCCACCAGAAAACACGAGGTTTGAGTGAAACTGCTTTCACAAAAAGCAGTGGGACCAGATGATCCCACTGGGTGCACTAATTCAGAGCAAATTTTCTTTAGCGTGAGACCAATATGAGTATATTTCCTGGAGCTTGGAAAATGGTCAGTCCTCACTTTACTAAATATTCAATGCAAAGTATTTTTGAACTGTAGTCAATGTTGATCTCAAAGGCATTCACCCTTAGTCCACTAAAAATCTTAGTTATATTTTTTCTTAAATAGTCATTTTTTATGTATCCCTTTTGTGTAATTATCTCATCCCAGTTAATTTACATGCCTAGTTTTATATAAAGGGTAAGTGCACTTCAAGAAAACATCCCAACCCAGTGCTGCCCAAGACCTCAATCTAATTAACCAAAATTAGCCCATATGTCCAACACCAGTCCACAAAGTCCTTCTCCATCTCACAAAACACATGCAATGATGCTGACTGTAGGAGGAAAGCAGAATCAGTGGATGTGTAAGCATCTCAGCGCTGGCAGGGTTATCCACATGGCTGCTCCAGCACCCAGGGCTGTATCGGGGTAGGTCCATGTGGCTTCTCCTCGGGGATGTCTTGCAGGAAGTGAGCCTTGCAAGCTGAAGCAGGGAACTGGCTAAGGCAGCTGCACCCTGGTCCAACCATCAGAGAGCAAGAGACCTGAGAACTAGAAAGGCAAGGCTTACTGAGCCATTTATTTCTCCACCCTTCAATTAACCCCACATGTGTTTATCAGCCAGGTTGGCACAGTAAACTTTAACTACCTCACCTTTTGTTTATTTAATAACAAAGGTCTAAAATAATGAATAGGACTCTATCTTTTGAGAGGATATTTTCCCCTTTCTTCTTGTTGGCTCTTTGCTACAAGATTGGCTCATATTCTTCTTCCTCTAATTATATTGTGCCCCATTGTCCCCATAACTGTTTAATCACATGAATATTGATTTTTTATTTCCCACTTAATTTTAGGAATACTTTGAAAGGACTTGTCACACCATGACAGGGAGACATTATTTGATTGTACTTTTAGTATTTTTTGAATCTGGCATGGCTCACTTATCTTGTGCTTCTATAACAAATATCACATGTGGGTGGTATTTATTCTCTCAAAGTTTAGGAAACAAGAAATTTAAATTCAGAGTGGCAACTCTAGGGAAAAACATTTACTCCCTGGGAGTTCAAGGAGATTGCCAATCTTGGCACTTCTCTCTTGATAGTAGCTACCTTTTATCTTGCTGTTTGTGTTAGGCAGGGTTCTTTAGAGTAACTAAACCAGGACACTTATGAATATATGTATATATAAAGTTAAGACAGTGAGAAGGACTTTAACAGCTAATTAATTCACATGGCAGTACAGAGGGCCCAGTTTAATTCATTTTCATGGAATGTGGGATTATAAAGAGACTTTCCCCCTAGCTTTGTCTTCCCCAAAGATATGGCAAACATTAGAGGCTATTTGCCAGCATATGGTGGGATGTCAGATGCATGGAGACATCCTCCTTGAAGATAGTCAGTTGCCACACTACTGTCTGGGCCCACCACAGGTAGGGCCCACTCCCTGCTGTTAGGAACAATGCACTACTTCTCCTGGAATGCTTGAAGCCATCAGTCTAGTCCAGAGTAGGTGGGGTTCACACCCTACTGATAATAGCTTCAATAGTGAGCCAGAGAACAGGTCAAACCTGCTCAGTGACATTCAAAGTTAGGCTGCCTTCCTGAATCTAGGATGCACATGTGTGCCCCCAATCCCTCCCCTTCCTATTGCTTGTATATCCCTAGATTGTCCACCTCTCATTGCTGTATAACCGATAGTGTTCCCCTTCCTGTGAGGTATGTCTTCACCTGTAATTGGGGTGCTTGCACATCCCCAGAGAATATATAACCTTG